GAGCCCTGTGATGCCAAATTACTTTATCAATTGGTAAACTCTGAAGGTGGTGGTGGTGATGACTTATTTATTAAATTTGCTTGCCATCCATCTCATCGCAGAATTTGAATATCCAACAAAATAAAAAGAGGAAATAAGTCTGAAGCTAACCTGGAATTGAGAGAACTGGTGGGAATCCAAGAACATGGATATTCCCACAATTATTCTGTACACTCAGAAATCCGAATATGTCATCACATCTGCCATGGAAAACTAAAATTAAAACTGTGAACAAAGCAGCTGGAAGATTCTGCTCTGCTTAAGGGGCAACAGCTGTATTTTGTGAGCAAGTAACCTGACACAGTTCATGGTCAGTATAATTCAGAAATAACTGCACATTAATAAGGCAGGTTCTCTATCCTCCCCACTGGTTTTATATCACTTCAGTCCCCACTCAAATTAGTAAGCAATCATTTTGCAATTCACATTATGCAATATTTGCCTTTGGGAGAAAACAAGTTTAAAGATGAGGGTAAATCAGATGAGTTGCAAAACATCACTGTTATTCCACTCTGTGAAGGAATTCTAAATTGTATGTCTGCAAGAACTGTATGAGTTGGATGTTATAAGGGATTGCTTTCCTTTATAGGGACTGGATTCATCAGGTTGCAACATAAGGAGGAGTAACCAGTGACCTGCAGGCCATATGGAGCTGCAGCCCTCCTCCACATTTGCCCAAACACTTAGACCCATAAATAGCAGTGCTCTCAAAATTAGAAGGCAAAATGCCAGAATTCAGCCATACCTTTTTTTCTTTCTTCTTTTATTAACAGGAATAAAAAGCAAAATCAGTGTGCAATCCTTACCTAAGCCTTCCCTTAAAAGATGAGTTAATACTATAACACAGAAATCCTTAGTGCTCTCTAAACTTGGTTGTTTTCTTGCAGACATTTCATTACCAAATTAGGTAACATCATCAGTGCTAGTAAGTGGAGTTTGCTCTCATTTCATGTACTAGTAGTTTGCCTTATCAGTGTTGGTGGGAGTGGTCTTAGTGGTTTCTGATTGGGCTGTTGTTTACTGTTACCTTTTTAGTATTTTTTGAATGGTATGCAGATGTTGTTTATCTCCATACACTTGTTGATAGCTGATTTGTGTGAGTAGCAGGCTTCTATATTGTTTTTAGACTTGGCTTTGTCTAGGATGCTCACAATTTCCCAGTTGAAACTATGGTTAAGTCTGCCCATGTGTTGTGAAATTAAGTACCTTTCATCATGTCTTCTGATTGCTTGGTGTTCATGAATGTCCTCTGCTTGTTTATCCCACATAGTGGTTTACAATGCTTGCCATAGATTACTCCTGATCTTTCTTCTGAGGCTGCTGGGTCCTTCAACTCACCTAGGATATTTTGGAGGGCTTCAGTTGTCTTGTGTGCCATAGTGATGTCATTTGGCTGCAATAATCCACTGATGGTTTCAGAGATGTCCCCAATGTATAGCAGTGCCCCATCCCAGTCTATGTTGGCTGTGCTACATTGAGTTCACCCACTGATGAAGTTGCATGGATATCCATCTTGCTGGAAGATGCTCTATAAGCAATCTGTCTCCTCTCCCCTCTGATGCCCAGGGTAGCCAGTGTGCCTGCATTCATCTAAATAATGCTCCATCCAGCTTCTTTTATGAGAGGCCTGGTTGCTGCCCTGATAGTAGAGTACCTGGTTGGGGTAGGTAGTCCTATGATAAACCTGTGTTTCCAATTGCCATCTCTGCTCTAGTAATGAGGACATTCAGGAAGGGTAGTATGCTGTTGTTCTCTTATTCCCCAGTAAATTCCACATTCCTGAAGATGTTGTTTATGGTCCCATATGTGTTCTCCAGTTGGTCCTTTTTTATTATGACAAAGGTGTCATCTATATATTGGATCCATACTTTGGGTAGTATACAAGGGAGTGCTATAGATTCCAGGCATTGCACCACAATCTCTGTTATCAGTCCCAAAAGCAGTGATTCCATGGGTGTTCCTTTGATTTGTTGATATATTTGTCCATTGAACTGAAAGTATGTGATTAGGCAAAGGTTGATAAGATCCAGGATTCTGGGTATTTCAGTCTTGCTGTACTTGGTTTAATCTACATGGTGTAGTTGGTTTAATCTACATGTTGTCATGGATTCCCTAGTCAATTCTGGTCCATGGATGTAAAACATGCTGTGACATCAAATGAGACCATGATTTCATTTTTATCCATCATCATGTCTTTGATTCTTTGGAAGCACTGAAATGGGGAGTTGATAGAGCATTTGCTTCCCTCTGTGAGGTGTCCAAGCCCTTCTGTTAATTCTTTAGCAATGTTGTAGGTGGGGATCCCTGGCAATGATACAATTGAAGTAAGAGGTATGTCTGGCCTGTATGCTTTGGACACAGTGCAGAGACACAGGCCAATGTAAGCCAGTGCAAAGCATATAAGCCAAACATACGTCTCCATCCAAATGTATCATTGCCAGGAACCCCAACTTACAGTAGTGCTAAAGAATTGACAAACTCTTATAGCCTAGTCCAGAGTGGAGACATCAAAGTACTTACATCAAAACTGATTTTGGTTCATGGATTGAATTGATAAAGAGAAATTTAACTTTTATATACAGTTCTGTTTTTAATTCAATTCAATTCAGAATAAAGCTGGAGGGGACCTTGGAGGTCTTCTAATCTAGTCCAACCCCCTGCTCAAGCAGGAGACCCTATACCATTTCAGACAAGTGACTGTCCAGTCTCTTCTTAAAAACCTCCAATGATGGAGCACCCATAATTGTTCCATGGGTCAATTATTCTCACTGTTAGGAAGTTTCTCCTTAATTCCGGGTTGCTTCTCTCCTTGATTAGTTTCCATCTGTTGTTTCTTGTCCTGCCTTCTAGTGCTTTGGAAAATAAGCTGACCTCCTCTTCTTTATGGCAGTCCCTCAAATACTGGAATATTACTACCAGTATCATGTTACCCCTAATCCTTCTTTTCTCTAAACTAGCCATACCCAAATCCTGCAACCAATGTTCAAATGGGAAAATCCTTTTTAAAGCAAATGCCTAAAAAAAACCCCCATAATTTGGTGTAATGAAATACTATTCTAAATACCCAACTCTAACATATTAAGTCTGAACATTCCACTTTACACATATGCATACATATAAGTTAATATATGATCCTGTTGATTGTGTTTGTATGAAGAAGTCAACTGATGGGTGTTGGTCCTGTAAATCAATTTACTGTGCAGACATCCGCTGAAATAAGTCTGTTTCTTGACTCAAATGGTAAACTGGGGAATTGGCCAAGTAAGCATTTTTCTTTTACTTTTTTGCTGCTTAATTTAAAAAAAAAGTTCTTTTACTTCATACTACACTTAAAACAAACATTTTCACATTTAAAAAGCAAGCATCCCAGAGCAAAACCCAGAGCCCTACTAGATGTGGCATGAAAAACAAACTGAAGAACTCCCCTGTCCCACCAATAAATTGAACATTTTGCTGGAGGTTTTCCATTGTACTTCCTCCTCCTGTGATGATATCAGAAGTTTGAGGAGTAAACTGCTATTTCATGCAATGGGAAAGTGTCCAATAAAGTCACCAATTGGTCAGAAGGCTACAAACAAGGAGGGTGTAAAACTGCATCTGGAAATGCCTTTAGATGAGATAAAAAGCACCATGCAGGTAGTCCTTGACTTACAAACATTTGTTTAGTGACTGTACAAAGTTACAACTGCACTGCAAAAAGTTACTTCCAGCCGGTCCTCACACTTAAGGTAACTGTCACAGCATCCCCAAGGTCACATGAACAAATTCAAGTGCTTGGCAAGTAGCATGTGACAGTTGCAGCGACCATGGGTCATGTGATTGCCATTTGTGACCTTCACAGCTGGCTTGTGACAAGCAAAGTCAATTGGGGAAGCCAGATTCACTTAACAAACTGCAGTGACTCATTTAACAACCACGGTGCAACTCACTTAACCACCTTGCTTAGCAACAGAAATTCTGATCTCAGTTTTGGTCATATGCTGAAGATTACCTTTATTGGAATAACTTCAAAAAGCCTTGCAAATGTCCATCTAGGATAGTCAACAGCTACTCTGCCCTGCAATTTTGAGAGCTGTATGCCCAACACACTGATAGTGCCAGATTGGAGAAGGTCGCTGTGTGAAGGTTAAGATTTAGACACAGTTTAATTTATTCCCTCAATTTTGTATCTTTTTCCATGCAAGTAAGAAATCTCAATCCTTGCTTTCTAATCACAGTGCAGCTAGAATAGGGCAATAGGTACATAATTCCAAAGGAAGTTTAACCTGGAATGGATAACAACAAACAATTAAAATGTCATCGCTAATGACATACTGTATTAAGTTCATATTATACTACTTGAAGTTTAGTTCTTAACTGCAGAATTGTTGAACATAAACAATAGCTGATAAAGTGCCACATATTTGCCTACTCAGTAAGGGGACAGCTGAGCATTTTCTTCATAGCCATGACTGTAATTTAACAACAACAACAACAATTACAGCCATTCAGCATTCTTGGTAGGAGAAGAAAAAAAAGCAGAGATATATTTTTGTGGCCAACTGAGGAGCAGATAAATTCACTGGGAAGTTTGAGGAAGGGCAATCTGTCCGAGTAGTGAAAATTATAAGAGTTCTGTAGAGGTGTTTTTAAACAGAAATGATGGCAACTATTCTTAATTTGTCCCAGATGCTGCCAATCACTCTCACAGAGGTCAATCCAGGGATAACTCAATTATAATATCAATCCCACCAAGAATGATTTTATGTGTGGGCACTCCTGAGAGAAGTGTGACGATGATGTCCAGATGGATCATTTGGAGCAGGAAGCTTGTGAACTGCAGTCTGCAGTGAGACCTCTAGTGTTTTTCTTCTTCCACATCCTGGCAGAGTTCCTGTAAAGTATAAACACACACAGAGCTTCTATTGTTTGCAGCCCTTCACGAGCCCCACTGATCCTAATATGGAATTCAGCAGGAAACCCATGATTTCCTGACATAGAGCAAACTGGAGAAAATAAAGGGATTGCCTGAAATAAAAAGAACAAGAAACACACAGAGAGAGTCCCTCCATTAATTTGTTCCAGTTTCCACTTTCTCTTTGGAAATGCAATGGAAAAATGGAATGGATTTAGCACGAATCCCTGATTTTTCAGGCCAAACCAGAGCAGAGGAACAGACATTCAGCTCCTCCGATTGTTGCTATTTTTAAGCCGTGTGAAATACCACCGTCTCTGTATGCAAGATGAAGATTTCCTGACTTGAACTAACGACACGCGTGTCGATTGTCTATTTATTCCCTCACATGGTTCTCCTCTGTGGCTTGAAAAGATCAAGTGCACAAACTGAAGTTATGATTTCATGATTGCCTGCCATGCAGCAACAACAATAGCAACAACAAAAAAATACTCATTCAAAAAGAAGCCTGCTATCAACAACTGGAATTCTCCTTTGGGATCTGTGCTCTTTCGGGTGTGCTTGCAAAAGCTGGAAGGAAAAAAGAAAAGCAGGAACAACCAGCATGAGTGGCAAAGAAGAAGAGCCCGGCTATTCGGATAGCAGCGTGAAGAAGATGCTCAAGTGTGTGGTGATTGGTGACGGAGCTGTTGGCAAGACCTGCCTGCTGATGAGTTATGCCAATGATGCATTTCCGGAAGAATATGTGCCGACCGTGTTCGACCACTATGCAGGTAAGAATAACCCATTCCTCTTTCTTATATGTGCCAGAAGTGTTCAAATGCTAACCTATTTCCTCTCCACAAATATGCATTTACATGCATTCACAGATCTTATTAAAGCTAAGTATGCCTTACACAGTGATAGTAGCATTCCTAAGGGATGTAATTGTGAAACTTCCTCTCTACAAAGAAGCCCCACATGTAATGAATTAACAGACCTGGACTTTACCATCCCTTTCCTCATGAACTACTTATTTTGTGGCAGGTAGAGATAAAATTTGGAAAATGAGACCATTTTAATTAAACCACTCTGATCTAATGATGTTGGCTGGCTCTAAACTTTTACATTAATGATTATTAGTTTTTCCTCTTCTACTCTTTGAAGAGATGGCCCCAGACAAGGTTTGTCCAAGGCATGAAGAAGAAGTCCAGCCTAGTTCAAGAGGAGGTTGTTATGGTGATGGAAAATCTCTCTCTCCCTCCCCCCCCCCACCACCACACTAAGTGTTCTGTCTGGTCTAAAAGTTCATTTGTGTCTTGCCTGTTTCAGAGCCAGTATGCCAGTCCTATAGCAATGTCTTCTCCATAAGATTGGCTGGCTTCAGACATCATGAAATCATTTTATTTATTTACTTATTTATATTTCTAATTCACTTAGTATCAGAAATTTTGGTATATTACAAAGCCCATGCACACACACACAAACACACATAGGCCATAAAACCAAGTGTATTTCAGCCACAGCTTTCTCATCTCTTGAGAAGTAGCTCTAAAGCAGGGGTGTCAAACTCGCAACATCACGTGACTGTTGCAACATATCGTGACTTTTTTGCCATTGCCGGCAATGGAGCGGACGCATCCGGCCCAGGGGCTGGCAGTTTGACACCCCTGATCTAAAGAAAGCCTTGATATTTGTTGAATATAAAATGAAGATTAAAAGTGTGGTGTCATTTTGCATAATCTTTGTGTATATTTATTAAAATGCATGCATGCAAAACTAGATCTTACTGTCGGACTGAAATAGAGAATTCCTTACTATTTCTTCCTAGTAGGCAAACCTATAACTATGATTGCCTACTGCTCAGTCCAATATTTTCCCCTTTTATGCTTTAAACAATTCTTGGAATAGAGGAAGTTTTCAGGGTATTTTCCCCTGTAAGGCAGGAAATCCATCCACAGTACCAAGGAGCTGAATTCTATTCCAAAGCTCACATTGCATGCTAATAACATTTACAACCTAACTAGAATGCTCTTGATTCCAATCCTTTATAAAACATTAAGAAACTCCATAACACAAGGACTAGACAAAGTAATTGTGACTTTGGCTGAAAACTTAGTTTGGAGAAAAGATATGATTTTCAGGGTTTGAATCATTTTCCACAAGGGGTAAAGAAATAAAATAAAAATAGTGGCTGGGTGAGTGGGTTCTATAGATTTCAGAGGTTGTTTAGAACTAAAGTACTGATCAGATTTGAACTAACTCTGATTTGAAGGATAAACTCATTAACCTTGATTTTTCTCTGGGTTGCATTTTTAGTAGGTGGGCAGTTGTTCTGAGAGATGAAGGAATAAAACTGGGGTAGAAAATAGGAGATTTTCCTGAAATTATTGGACTATAGTTTACAGATGGAACATAGATGGACTGAATTGTGAGAATTCAGTCATTTCTGTAGTCCAGAGTTTTACGGCTAAATGTACGGTATATACCAAACCAATGAGTTCTTAATCAGTAAACCATGTTTAATCAAACCATAGTGTCTCACAATATGGGATTTCAGTCCATTTGTCTTAGCCTAATCTACTTCCAAGATTTGTTGGGAGTATGCAGAGAGGAAAGAAAGAAAGAAAGAAAGAAAGAAAGAAAGAAAGAAAGAAAGAAAGAAAGAAAGAAAGAAAGAAAGAAAGAAAGAAAGAAAGAAAGAAAGAAAGAAAGAAAGAAAGAAAACACTTCCCTGGGCTTCTTGAGGGAAAAATAGGATACAAAGGTCATTATAAATTAGCAGTTGTCATTAGAAATTAGACTTGCTTAAGAGGATAAATAATTCTGCAGCTGCTCATACAAACAATTTACAAAGAGAAATATAACCAAAACCAATCTCATTACTATTGTTAAATGTAAGACAGCAATCTGAACAAACACTGTAATCTTGCAGTAGAGATAAAGAAATGTAAATATCTTTTAACATATAAAGCCCAGCACCATATGTCAAAAAGAGTTAAAGTAGAAAATTAAATACAAACCAAGATTGTATCAATATTTCACTTAGGATGGAGTTACCACTGAACCTTTTGCTCTCTCAAAAAAGGATGAAGAATACAATATAATATTCTAAAACCAGCAAAAAAAAGAGAGTGGTGGCCTCTTTAACCTAAATGTTCTTTATAAACGTCCCTGTGAAATAAGCAGGTGCCATTATCATAAAAGAAAAGGCAACATGTATCTGTAAAAGCTAATTTTATAAAACCACTAAAGGATAATGATGATAAATCATAAAACTGGCTTCTTTTAGCCAGGTTAAAAATTACAGATTGGCAGATCCTTCTTGGTTCATTTCACTCCAGGTTCAGAAGCATTACCATCTTTTGCATTCCATAGTCCAGAAAGAGTGACACAATTACATTTCCCAGTTCCCAGCTTGAGTTTGAATTCACAATATATGGTAGTTTACATAAATTATGTCCCTGGTGGGAACTACATATCTCGTAGAAATACCGTCGTCAGTAAAATTATGCACCTTGGAGGCAATATCATGGAATCTGTTGACTGTTGGTGTAATTATATCAATTTCAAGTTTCCGCTAGTAGAGATACATCTATTCTGCAGCTTTCACATATATAGGTTCAGTGCAAGAATACATCCCAGATTAGTAGGGCCCTTCTGACATGACCATTTCAGAGCATGAAATTCATAGGGAAATTTTTAGCAGTTTAGGTTACTAGCTGTAGTCCAGTTGTGGCATTCACCAGTATGAGTCAGCATCTACATTATTGCAAGTCTAGAGCCAATATATGTGACATTCTGAACATAAGCTTTTCACAAGATTAACCATGGGAATAAGCCTCAACTTTCCTTGCCATTTTGCCCATTACTTACCAGAATGAGATGTCAAACATGTTGCATGCATTGTTATGTATATATTTCATGTCTGCATTTGAGTATCAAACAGATCAGTCCTGGCCTGGTACTCTCAAACATTTTATTCGTAAGTAAGATAAAGAGACAATGCAAAATCAATTAATCAAGGAGAGAAGCAACCTAGAACTAAGAAGAAATTTCCTGACAATTAAAACAATTAATCAATGGAACAACCTGCCTCCAGAAGCTATGAATGTTCCAACACTGGAAGTTTTTAAGAAGAGACTGGACAGCCATTTGTCTGAAATGGTATAGGGCAGGGGTGTCAAACTCACAATGTCACATAACGTGTCGTGACATACCATGACTTTTTTGCCATTGCCAGCAATGGGGTGGGCGCGGTTTTGCTGTGATGCATCCGGCCCATGGGCCGGCAGTTTGACACCCCTGGTATAGGGTTTCTTGCCTGAGCGGGGGGTTGGGCTAAAAGACCTCCAAGGTCCCTTCCAACTCTGTTATTCTATTCTAAAATATCAAATATGCAGGTGACAAAATAATAGGTAGCAGAGTTAATGCCTTAGAAGGCAGAAATAGAATTCAAAGTGAGAAATAGGCAAAATGATAGAAAATCAATGCAGGCAATTGTGTAGTCCTTCATTTAAGAAACAAAGATCAAATGTACAACCATAAGATGGGAATAGATGGCTTGGATGTAGTATTTGTGAAAAAGAGTTTGGAATTATAATTGTCAACAAAGTGAATAAGAGTCAATAGTGTAGTATGGCTGTGGGAAAAAAAGCAAATATGAGTTTAGGCTCCACCAACAAAAATATGGTTTACTATCATTTTACTTTATTTCACGCTTGTCAGATCCCATCTCTAGTTTGTATCCAGCCCTGCACACCAAATTTAAAAAGGATTCAGATAAATAAACAGCTTAAAAGAAAGGCAATAATGACACTAAAAACTATGAAGAGTGATTGAAAGAATAGAAAATAGTTAGCTTTAACGATAAGAAGACTGGGGGAAGCACAAAAGCATTTTCGAAATGCCTGAAACAGTGACACACAGAAGGTCAAGACCTATTTTTTTATTATTCGAGAGTGTAAGACATGCAATAAAAGGTTTAATTTACAGAAATGCAAGAACAAAATATTTCCCAATGGTAAGAGAGGTTTTTTTTTTAGAAAGGTTATAAACTCTCTTTCACTTGAAGTGCTCATGCAGAGGCTGAAGATCCACCTTTCAGGGACAGTTTAATTTGGATTCCTGTATTAAACAGGAGATTTTGTGACCACAGTTCACATTTTTTTAAAAAAGCCAAAGTGAATATATTAAAATGGGTAAAAGATTGTATATTATTAATAATAAAAATTGAAAGTGTTTTCCCAAAAATCCACACTAAAGAAAGTATATATAAAAATGCACTCATTAATGATGCACATTTGAAAAACATATACAAATCCTTGTGTGAGAAACTAAGTAAAAACCACCTTGACTGCTTTGCACCTTCATACTGTACTCAGAAATGAACGGGAGTGTGTAACCACCACATGCTAAAATATATAGTTTGATACAAATATCAGAATCAGAATAGAACTGGAAGGGATCTTGGGGGTCTTCTAGTTGAACCCCCTGCTCAAGCAGAAGATCGTATAACCGTGGTGGCAAACCTATGGCACACGTGCCACAGGTAGCATGCAGAGCCCTCTCTGTGGGCATGTGCGTCATCACCCCAGTCCTAGGCCTTCAGCTGGGTTTTATAAAATCTTTTCGCTTTTGGCCTCCGCCACCGTGTGGGGAAAAAAAAGGTTCAATCAATTTCAACTTCTCCTGGGGAAAAAAAGATGTCGCAAAGTTGGAATTGATTGATTGAAGTTTTTAGTCCCACCCAGTCTGCCGTTACCACCGCAGCCATGCCTGCCCAATAGGCCAC